AGATCGTTGATTACTTTCAAGAGGGCAGTCTGTGTTCCGTGTTTTTTGCAGAACCCAGACTGCTCGTACGGGAGTATTCGATTTTCTTCCAGAAAAGCCTTACTTGACGAGAATCATTTTTCCCGAATATTTTAGAGAATATGGGCAGAAGGCTGATACGGCGCAGGTCACCGAAAGTGGTAGGTGGTTTCTTTTTCCGATATGGAATTATATTAGCAACCTTCCAAACATCTGAAAAAATACCCTGTCTGAAGGACTCGTCGAAAATATGTTTAACTTCATCACTAAAGAAATTATCTTGAGATTTATATTGTCAATATCTAAATCATTAGATTTTATTTTTTTGATAGCAGGCAAAATATCATCACTACATATATCGGCAAGGGAAAAGTTCAAAGGACCGTTGAATTTATTACTATTGTAGAATGAAAGAGTGTCATTATTTACTATTGAATGTCCAGCCACGTTTAAAAAATAATCACTGATTTCTTTAAGTCTACGTAGTTCAATTGGAAGGCTATTTGCGAGGATGATTTTGTAGTAACACCCCAGTCTGCAAGATTTCTCCATGTCATTTTTGAGTTGTTTTCATTTTTGTTCAAAACAAATAGCATATTTTTTCACGTTTTACTGCATAACTGACGTATGTTTGAAGGTGGTTGACAATGTTTCGTGGTGCATTTCATTAGTTCGGACTTCCATTATCTAATTTGATGTAAAAAAATGTATCTGAAAAATAACGGTTATATTAAGCAGAATAACTGAATCCACAATCGTCTTCGAATGATAACTGGACTTATTCCTCCCAGATCTGACTGGTCATTCGAGTGCTTTCAACTATCCCCTCTTTTCTCTCTCCGCTTCATCGGTTTTAACGGAAGCTGAACTTTTGGCGGGAGGTAATCGTGTTCCTCTTGCTTAGAGATTTCCAGATGTTGCATATCTTTACGCCAGCTTGGCTAAATGCGAGCACAAGAAACACAACACAGACAGCGAGGAGAAACTAGCAAATCAGGAATAGCAGAGCATGTTTGGACTCATCAACATAAGATCAAGTGGGCTCAAGCTGAAATCATCCACAAGGAGGAACACTTGTTTAGGAGAAAATTCAAAGAAGCCGCATATATGTTGTCCAACAACGCATTTAGCCAAGCCAGAAGTTGTTATCCGACTAGAATTTTCTATAATTTGATTCATATCGAAACAAGAAACTAGGGCCAGCAAATAGTTGAGTATCGCGAGAGTCACAGTTTAATAAATTAATATCAATATCACCAACTAACTCGACAGCAGATGTTTTCCAATACACATGTTCCAGTACCTCACATAACTCCTGCATACAGTCCTCTACATTTGGTCCTGGTGGGCGATAAACAACTCCACAGGCTACTTTTTGTTTGTTTATGTTGACTATAATCCATAGCTGCTCTAGACCATTTGGAGTGGTATAATTTGTATTTATACAGTGATTTGATGAAAAAACATACTTCACCACCTCTAACATCACTATCCAAACATATGAAGTTGAATTTAGGTGTAATAATAAATTTATCTGGATATTCTGGAACAAGCCATATTTCCGTGACACCAGTTATTAAAATTTCGTTATTATTGATAGAGTTTTTGAAGTCACCAAAACACTTATTCAAACAACGGATATTCACGTGACCGAATCTTATGTTGAGTTTTTTTGATTTACTCATAGAAGGAATGCCATAAACATATTTTATATATATTTCATCCTTGCCATTTTGTTTCCGTTCATTAACTTGCAAAAGAACCTTTTTCGAAGAAGAATTGTCTTATCGGTACTAATCTGAACATTTCAATTGACATTTTTTATTTTTCAATACCATATTGACGTCCTTTTGTCTATTCAGAATTACTTTCAGTGGTGATGGTTGAACAGCTGTTCTTCCGTTTTTATATCGTCAGACTGGGCAATAGCTCCAATTATATTTTTGGCACTTTTCTTATCGTTGTCTTTCCGATGTCTCAGTTATGATGATTTCGGCATTATCGGAGTATTTATTCTCCTTGATTTCATTGATTTCTTCCTACAAACCTCTCACTAGTACGGTGAGATCCTTGATCGTCCGAGTCAATTCGCGGACTTTATAACAAGCAGTTTCTTTGACTACCTGATTCATGACTTTATAAATTACAACTACAATCATTGTTTAGACATTTGCCGCATGCACTAACGTTCTTCAATACATTTTAAATTCGCCGATCCCCGAACCTGACAGGGCGTAATTTATAACTCTATCGCTATATTTACGCCCTTGCAAGACGAAGTAGTGCTTCCGTGTTTATCTTTCCCTTATCGTTTCTTGGATTATCTCCTATATACGTTGTGCGTATATGACTTTTCAGTTCAATTACAATTTAAATAAGCGATGAATATCTACCTCTGAAATGGTTGGATAAAAAAAAAATTAAATTACGATTTCTCATAACTACCAAATACCTTATCTTTACTCTTATATATGTCATATTCAATTGAGCATATTCGAAACTTAGACATCGACATAAAGATGATAACAACATCATGCTTATACATGTTCAAGTGATATAATGATAAAACAAAATAATGGTGCGACAAATACGTACATCTATAATATAAAGAAAAATATACACGAAACGGTTTCATCTTCTTCGTCGCTGCTGCTTACCGACAGATTCCTCACAATCAGGAGCTTGCTATCACCCATGGGGAGAGGCAATTTCCTGCTCTTAGTCTGACGAAGTTGGCCAAGGGAAGACATATGGGTCCTGTAACCACGACCTCCATTCCTGGCATTTGCGGAGTGCTTCTAGCGGGGACCAGTGGCCCTACCGGGAGCGCCTCTGACGGTTTCATTCTAACCCGGCTGATGGGTTTCTATTACTCCTGGCTCTAGCCATCCTGAGTCCTGCCAAGCGTACGGGTTGGGCCGATGGCCCTGCTGGGGGTGTAGTGGGCAAAGTCGCCTCATAGGACTTGGACACCACAAACAGTCTCTATTTCCATTTCGATAAGGGCCCTCGTATATGCGAGTTTTCATGCCCAATCCCAATCGAACCTTCCCAGGATCTGGTCCAATGAAGCCGCTTGTAGCAATCTCCTTTGCAAGAGAGTCAGCAGCGTCATTTCCTTCCGGGCCAGTATGGCCAGGAATCCAGATCAGAGACAATATATTTAGTCTTCCTATCGAGGAGAGTCTTTTTTGGCAGTTTGCCACCAATTTAGACGTTGCTCTGTGGGAGCCAAGAGCTTCCAACGCCGCTTGACTGTCCGAGAATACAAACAAACCTAGTGCTTTTATTCCCATCTCAAAAGTATTTAATGTTTTAGGCAACCTGAGATTTTATCACTTAGATTCCACAATACATTTCATGGATTGATAGGTACTGATACCTTGAAACTATTTCAAGCTTATGTTTACTTGAGCTGAGGATTTTTGACTACCATCATCGTTGAAAAATTTGATAGAACATGCATACAAGAAGGTAACTTCAATAACTTCGATGAGACGGGCACACGTAAACGTATTTTGGAACTGCCATTTGAATGTCGAATGAAAATCACTTATAGAAAAATTATGTTTTGAATTTTTTGATAATTTTGACCACGAGGATGAATTACTTACTCTTACAAATGAAACTAAACTTCGTATGAAGACAACTGCTGAAATACCCGTTTATACAAAGTAATACAGATATCCATTCATCCACAAAAAAGAAGTTGAAATAAATTTAAAAAATGTTAGATAAAAAAACCTTCAGGGCTAGACGACCAAGGTGAACTAGGTCGTCTCCAATACGGGGCATACCTAAGAAAATGAATGCCTCTAGTAAACAAAAATGGCAAGTTGATAAATATTCCTTTGCCAAATATAACCGATTTACTGGATGAGTTAGATAGATGCCAATACTTTTTACTTTAATTTTGCCAGCGAATTCCACGAAATCGAAATGTTTGAGAAAGGTATCGAAAAAACAGCATTCAATACCGAAAATGGGCATTATAAGTTCCTTAGGATGTCATTTGTTTTCAAGAATGCTCCCGCCACTTTTGAACGGGTGAAAGAGAATATTCTTAGGGTTATTCAGAACAAAAAATGCTTAGTTTATTCAGAGGACATCTTTTCCACATCTGTCCAAGAACATATCGATAAGTCGGAATTCTTCAATTACCTTAAATGTGTTATTTTCACCTAGGCATTGGAATGCAGGTAATGTGTTATTAAGATAAGAGTTCCTTCTGTACATAACTCATAAAAGAAACAAAAACAGTCCTGAAATAACATTCAACAAAGGCAGACTTTACCAATCACTGAGTATATCACCTCAACGATCATATCAATGACAGTTTATTTCTTGTATAGAAAGAATTCACTTCGAATTGGCACCAATAAGAAGCCAAGTCAAGAAGCGAAACAACCACAAGTAATGGATGAAGCAACCGATCTATTCACTGTTCAACTACCGCGTGGTGCGTGATGATTAGTTGAATCTTCAGGGAGAGAAATCATCTATCTCACCACCTTGGAAAATCCCGCTGATGTAGCAGTACCACTATTCTATTCCAGCTGCTGGCAAGACAGATGCCCACAGGAGCAGAAATCTTCGAAGCTTCGCAAACGGAGTCAGTCAGATTTCTTACTTCGAAGTAATGGCACGTATAATTTCATATATTTTGTATTGCTTCAATTTTTGTTTTATGATTTCTGCAACACTGAAAGTAGTTTTGAAAAGCAAGTTTAGTGCCGTCGATAGTTGATTCGTGTCTTGAAAATTAGCATATTTTATAGTAAGTAAACCAAAACACAGGTATCGCAACTGCTTAATTTTTGTAATTGTGTCCAATTACTTGCCTCCGTAGCACGATTACTTTCAACGTAACAACATATTTCTTTGAATCACAGTATATAGTAGTTTATCTTCGTGCTCTAACAATCATCAGCGAACACATGTTGTTTTCAGTTGAACATTCTAGAGAGCAAAAAGCAACTTACGCTTTATGTTCGCTGTCTTTCACGTAGTTCGGAGGGCATTTGATTCTGTAGCATTTGTATCCTCCTCTGGTATTCAGACAAACTTCATCACGCAGACATACATTGGACTCTTGACACTCGTCTATATCTGCAAGAAAATGAAGTGAGGATTATTACATAGTTCTAGTTTAAAACATTTTTACCTATACAAACTCTGCCGTCACTTCCCAATTCATATCCGGGGGGGCATTCGCAAGTGTAACTACCGGGTACATTTTTACAAGTTCCAATACACAACCTCTTGTCTTTGAATCTTTCACACTCATCAATGTCCGTGCAAGTTCTAGAAAAATAAAAGTATTTGCAAAAGTATTAAGGTCACCTGAAAACTTTTAAGAAAAATGATACTATTGAATCTGAACTTTTTATTATAGTATACCTGTTGTCACTGTTCAGAGTGAATCCTTGCTTGCAGCTACAACGGTATGTTCCATATATGTTGATGCAGTTGTGTTCACAAAGACCAGGGGTTTGTAGACATTCATCAATGTCTCCACACTCATTGATATATTTTTTCTCAAAGCCTTCCTTGCAATCACACCTGAACGATCCTATGAGATTGACACATTTTGATGATGCCAAACGACATGGCTACAAAAAACTGTATTTCATTTCTGAACATACACGATTATAGAAACTTACCCTGAACATCCTACATTCGTCCAAATCTTCACATTGGCCTGTTATTTTATTGAGATGATGGCCAGGAGGGCATTCACAGGTATAGTAACCGTGATAATTTTTACAAATTTGAGTGGGCTGGCATTTATGGGTACCACGAGTACATTCGTTTATGTCTGTAAAAACACATTAGAAGTAAACGTATCCCCTTTCGTTCTTCGATAAGTTTCGATACTTCATTTAATCAATCTTCTTAACTTACCGATACATTTATCACCGGATTCGTTGAGTTCGAAACCCATTTTACAAAGCATTGGCGAAGCACACTCATATCTACCCTTGAAATTGAGGCATTTCTCAAACCTTCCGCATGGGTTGTTTTCACATTCATTTATATCTACAAAAAAACAATAGAGATGCGTGATAAGTATCTTTAGAATGATAAACTCCCTAGGATACAGATAAAGTATATTCTTTCTGAACAGACTTTGACTCCAAAAATCAGCAATATAGTTAAGAATTCATTCAACTGAAGGCACTTTCATGTACAACCTACAACTTATACGATAATTCACTTTCAGACAATGCCACAAAAGCTCACGTCAGATTTTACCAGTACGGCTCCTAGGGCATGAAATGAGGGATTTGGATCCGGCCACAATAGTAGTAGTAGTATGTATTTTTCTTGTTTAAAAGTATAAAATTATTTTTCACAATATTTTCATACAATAACAAGAAATACGTCAGAGAAATACGTCGTAAATGAAGAGAGCGTTTTCACACTA